TATGTTACTGCTGTAATTTGGGGAGGGAGGAGAAAGAGGATATTGCGTATGATTTATTTGTAGATACGGATTATTATTTCAAAGCCTATTTATATACAGTATTTACTCTGTATATGTGTGTGCTAGTGCCATGATGAAAATCACTTTAACACCTCATTTTGATCTGCTGAATGCAACAAGGGTAGAAATATATATTGTAATAAAGGCAAATTAAATTTTTTTCTGACTTCTGTTTTCCTGTATGCTTTGATAGTGGCAGAGTGCTTTTGCAGAGCTGCTGAAACTCTGTAAAGCGTGGCTCTTGCAGCTCCAGTCCCAATTGCCTGTCTCTTACCGGGGCTATCCGGTTTGACTCCCAGCACTTGCAAAATGTTTGCTGTTCACTGCAGCGTTTGACCCAGAGCCTTTTCAGATGGAGAGCGCTCGCCGAGGGAGACAGGGCCAGGGTCTGGGCTCCGGCTGTTCTGGGGTGTGGGAACAGCACCTCGGAGCCAAGAGCAACCAGACAGGAACTGGAGCAAACTGGACCAGTCGGGAATCTTGCCCAACCCCAGATTTGTTTTTTTTAATCTTTCTTTCATCTAATTCCTAATGTGACCTAAGGAAAAACTAGCCATCTGTCTTGAATGGGAGTGTCGTCATTTGTGGCAATGAGACCAGATAGTCTTTATTTTTCTTTTTTCTTCTTTTTTTCCCCTCTCCTTTACTTTGACATTGGCCATTCCATTGGTGAGAAGCAAATACCCTTTCCTCCTGCCCGTGAGAACGCAGCACTGCCTTTTGCTCCCTCCGCCGGGTTTGCTGAGCAAACTGACTGCAGCGAGGTGATACTGCCGGGCTCGTGTTGGCTGGTATGAAAACAAAGATGTTTGGGCTGATAAGGCTCTGCGGCAGCTCAAGTTCTCTGTTAAAAACACAAGAGCAGCCGTGTTTCGGCAGCCTGCAGTCACTGCTGCTTCAGTCTTCTCTATTTTCTGTATGTCTCTGGCTTGTATAAACATTTACCCTGGAGCTCTGGAGACAGGCTTTGAAATGAAGGTGCCTTTTTAATTAAAAGTCAGGAACGGTGCTTTTGCATCAGCAAATGAAACTTTATAAGGACGCATTCATTGCTCCTGGAATATCCCATTAACACTAGAGGTAGAAAAATCTGAGGCAGCAAACCTCCTGAGAAGCAAAGACCGTAGAGTTGGGGCTTTTTGATGCCATGGGGAAGGTAGGGAATATTCCCAGAATACTCCATTAATTTTTTCTTTATAAATAAGTAGTCATAAGTAAATAGTCTTAATTCAATATGCATTGCAGATGCCATAAAGTACCTCAGGGTAGATGATTGCAAGAGGCAGCAGACGATTGGTGCTAAGAGCTAGTGCCTAAAAATATAATGAATACAACCGTCAACTCTTCTGTGAATGCACAAAAAGGTAAAGCCTGGAGGTTTGTTTTGGGGTTTTCTTTTTTTTGTTTGCTGCTTTTTTTTTTTTTCCAAAAGCGTCCAGCAAAGTGCGGTGGTGAAAAGAGTACACTCATACTGCCACAACTTCGGGTAGTCCTAACTCTTTTGCTCGCGGTAAAGTCCAGCCCCGCATCTCGTTCTGTGGCGCGCTGGAGGTGCGCAAGAAAAGGGCTAGTGGTAAATGGGAGAGAAAGCAAGCCCAGCAGGGGTGCAGAGGGGTGACGGCTGCTGGGTCCTTTGGGGGAGAGAGGCTCCTCAAGGCCTTCCCAGCCACTGGGACGTGAGGGAGGAAAATAAAGGCAAAATAAGAAAGGAGTTTTCTTCTAGG